TATACCAAAAAATTTTGTACGGTATACAATATGGTCCAGTATTATGGGTATACCGTATCGAGTCATTTTTACGCTGAAATATCAAAATTAAAAATAGATTTATAAATTTGATAATATATTAAAAGATTAATTATTTCAACATAAATATACTAGATTATCGATATATACCGATATATCGAATACTAAAATATCAAACTGTATATTGTATTTTCGGTATATGATAGCAACAATGCTAAAGAGTATATGTAATTACCATACTAAAAAATTTTGGAGTACAGTATCATACCATATAAAAATTTACAATATACAATAATTTTAATATTTTTAATAGTTTTTTTTTTCATAGGGTACATACATTACTTGAGCAAATTGATATTTTCCACTCTTACTTGTTTATCTCTAAATGAATTTTATTTTATTTTTTATTTTTTGAAATATAAAAATAAAGTTTAAAATTAAATCTAATTATTAACTAATTTTTAATAGTAAAATATCCAATCAAATATTTTTTATATTATATTTTAATTTAAAATTTTAAATATCATATAAATACTTATTTATATCATATTAAATATTTATTTTAATTTTTATTATTCAAAATTCTATGATTATTTTTAAAATTATAATCAAACAAACAATAAAAGTTAGAGGTATTAGTAATTTAATAAAATATATTTAAATTTATAATTTTAATTAGTATTTACTAATTATTAGAATATTAGGCAATGTGACCAATTTGGTGGGACGACTAAAAAACGGAAAGATGGACCAATTTCGTGGGACGGAGGGAGTATATAAATAAATACTTTTGATATTAATAATAGAAAATAATAATAATAAATAGTACAAATCAAAAGTAATCGATAAAGAAAAATAATATTTTCAAATTTTCAAATTAGAATCAATATTACTTATTTTGTACAATTATCAATAAAAATATACTATTTTATTTTTAAAAAATTAAAATTAAAATACTATTAAAAAAACTCGAATCAATCATCTATTTCAAATCATTTTCAAACTAGAACCAAACAAAGCTTTAGCTAACTTTTTCTGCGTATTTGTATTTTTTATTTTAATACTCGCTCAGTCTCACTCCAATGTACTCTTTATAAATTTCATAGTAGATTAAGAAATGGTAATATTTTATTTAGGCAAAACTGCCTATATCCCCCATGTGGTTTAAAAGTTCGGCGCCATTCCCCATGTACTTTAAAAATTGCGTGGTTCTCCCTTGTGTTTTCAGAAACGTTGCACACTCTTCCCATTGATCAATTTAACCTCACAGTATTAAATTTTATATGTAATGGACCGTTATACCCTTCATTTAAATAACTCACCTAACTCTTCTCCCTCACTTCTCTTCTACCCTTCCCCACCGACATCTCTCCCCTACCATCACCTCTAAATCGCCGTTCCTCCATTTACGAGAAAAGAAACTCCAGGTCCGATTTTTTGGGTTATCTTCTACCTCAATTTTTTGGGTTATCTTCTACCTCGATTTTTTAGGTTATCTTCTACCTCAATTTTTTTGGTTTTTTTTTTTTTTTTTACGGGTTAGGGCTTTTCTATATTTTGCTTTTGTTTTCACGGACTATAGCAATTTCGAGTTGAGAAGTTCTTCGATTTGTCATAGAGGTGGATTTTGGGTTTCAACTTGTACATTTGTTATGCTTTTTATTCATGTTCGATGGTGATCCCCAAAATGAAAGAAAAATGAAGCCAAGAAATGAGGCAAAAACAAAAATATCAACTTTTCAATAGAAACCTGTACCTGGAGATTTGAAATCCGTGGCCAAGGGACGTCGAGGAGGAGATTCGGGACCTGGGTTTGCTTCGCTGGTGGGAGATTGATGGAGATGGAATGTTACAACTTAACGAGAGTCATAAGGGTAAATTAGGTAATTTGGATAGTTTAAGAGAAGCAATCCTAATAATAGTCGCTTAATCCGCGCGTGCATACCAACTTCCGTTATCTTTTAACGTTTGGGAGGTTACGCGCAATGTTTTTGAAAACACAGGGGAGAACCACGTTGTTTTTAAAGTACAAGGAGGAATGATGCCGAGTTTCCAAACCACAGGAGGATACAGGCAGTTTTGCGTTTTATTTATTAATAGAACTGTGTAAGAAGTTTTGACATTTTTTTCCTTTAGTTTTATGCATAACTTAATTGTATGTCTAATAATATGTTTGTAAATTATGTAAAAATAAACAGTATTTTTCGTATTTGTGTATAATTACTTTTATTAAAAGTAACAAAAAATGATGCTTTTGAGTAAGATAAATCAAAATGACAAAAATAATAATTTAAGTTAGGACGGAGGGATTATGTCTCATCCTTTGAGTCAAATGTATATATTGTTACTTTTATGTTCTATTCCATGTCAACCTGTATTTTTTTCTTACAATAAAAATGAATTATACACTAACACTACAATATTTTTTTAGATAAATTATACTCCATTCATCACGGAACACTACTCTCATTAGGGTACAGCACATGATTTAAGAAATAATAATATTATATTGAAAGTAAGTATAAAACAAATAATAAATTACTAAAATGTCATTGTGGGTGTATTTGTGTAAAAAATAATAATACATTTGTAATATTGGCGAATAAATAGTAATAGTTCTAAGGTCGGGGACGGTTGCAGTGCTTATTTGGGCTAATCACCACCGTCCTGATCAACCGTAAATTTAATTAATACATAAAGATATAGAACGGTAAGTTTAATCAAAACATATAATTAATTAAAGAGATAGAACGGTAAGTTTAATTAATACATAAACTGATCACCTCCGGCTGCCAAATAATATATACCTTCTGCGTCTAATTCAGAATAAAATAATGATTACATATTAAAGTAATATATTAATACTATTATTTAAAAAAATTATTAAATTAATAACGTAGTATTATATTAAATAGAAAATACTACTTTCGTCCGGTTTAAGGGTCCTATTTATTTTTTGTGTGTTATATTTGAATATTAATTATTATATCAAAATATAATACAAATTAACAAAAAATTGCAAAATACTTTAATTAGTGTCTTATCTCATATATATAAATTACAAAATACTTTAATTAGTATCTTATCTCATATATATATATATATATATCAATATTTGAACTCAGTATAGGACCCACCAGAATGAAAAGCTTGAATATCTAGCATTTTTGAATTTTTTTTTAAAAAAATTGATTGGTTAAAGTATTTGATTGACTATTCTGTTTTATTTATAAGACTTTTATTTTTTTAATTAAATATTTACCTCAATTACAACTGATATATACACAAATATTTTAATATTAATTATAAATAAAAAAAAAACACTCTCCTAAACACTAATTTGTTCTCACGCCCGCCGTCCCTCCCAAAGCTCTCTCCCAAATCCTAATTTGTTCTCACAACAGCCGTCCCTCCCAAAGCTCTCTCCCAAACCCTAATTTGTTCTCACAACCGCCGTCCCTCCCAAAGCTCTCTCCCAAAACTCTACTTCTTTTCCGTCTTTTATCTCCAGACTTTGCAATCCGCCGCTGCTACACCGCACACCAAAGTCTCATCCTGCACCGCCCCCATTCAAAACACTGGTAAGATTTATTTACATTTTATCTCTTTGTTCTTTTTTTTTTTAAATTTATTTTTGATTCTCTCCAACATATATTTCCAGATCAGCAGGCGCTCCACGGCCATCTATCCATATCTCGCTGCACGCCACTCCACTCCTCACGGTTTTGAAGCTCTATCGCTGTTGCTCGATGGAATTACGGGTAAGATTTTTTTTTTGTTTTTTCTTTTTTAATCTTAATTTATTTTCACACATATAAAAAAATTGAGTTTATTCGAATTTTTTTTTTGCTCTTCTGATTCTTTGTTTTTTAGATTTGTTTTTTTGTTATTCTCTTTATTTTTTTTCTTTTTTAATGTAGATCTACTTCCACATATGTAAAAAATTTGAATTTATACAATATTTTTTTTGTTCTTCTTATTCTTTATTTTTCTTTATTTTTTTCTTTGAGTCATTATCTGGCAGTGCTAAAATGTGTCATCGTCCTTTTTGATTGACCTGAAACTGTGATGTCCAACCCTGTTGTGTTGTGCAGAACCGCATATGAATGGTGCTATATTGTTCAATTGTGGATGTACAGGAGAGAAAGGTATTCTTTTTTTTTTTTAAATATAAAATTATAATTACAATGTAATTAAAATAGATTGAGTATCAATTTTCTGTATATAGCTGTTAGAAAAAAATTAATATGTAAATTATAATATTAACTTATATATTTTTATATAATTAAATATGTTTACGTTATATAATTTGATTATAATAATTATATTATCTATTTTGTTATAAATATTTTAATATAGATACACAAGAGTAAGTAAATTAAATTATGTATTAATTAAACAATACATTATAAATATAAATAAAAATAATGATAAGTTAAAGAAGATATAGATTTTTCTATAATTATTATTTTTTTCTTAAAAATTGAACACTTTATTTTTATTTTTAAAATACAAGTCTCATATTGAAGATGTAGAGTTTTTTCTTTTTTTATAATAATTAATTTTAATTCTAATTCATTTTAAAGTTGAGAAACTCTAATTCATTTTTATAATAATTTGATTCTAATAATTATATTATCTATTTTGTTATAAATATTTTAGTATAGATACAAACGAGTAAATAAATTAAATTATGTATTAATTAAACAATACATTATTATATAAATAAAAATAATGATAAATTGTTAAAGAAGATACTTTATTTTTATTTTTAAAATACAAGTCTCATGTTGAAGATGCAGAATTTTTTTTTTATAATAATTACTTATTAAAAAATTAAAATAATTAATTTTAATTCTAATTTATTTTAAAGTTGAGAAACTCTAATTCATTTTTATAATAATTTGATTCTAATAATTATTGTTACGTACGAAATTTAGAATTAGGTTAAAAGCCCAAGGTAAAAAGAAGAATGGGCCTGGCAATAGAGTTGATTGAACTGACTGAAGGGCACCATGAGGAAATCAAGGAAAATAGGTTTATTACTAAGGAAAGTCCTCAGGTCGGAAGGTCTTCAGGTCGGTAGGTCCTCAAGACGGAAAGTCATTAGGACGGAAGGACCTCAGGTCGGTAGGTCCTCAAGACGGAAGGACCTCAGGTCGGAAGGTCTTCAGGTCGGTAGGTCCTCAAGACGGAAAGTCATTAGGACGGAAGGACCTCAGGTCGGTAGGTCCTCAAGACGGAAGGACCTCAAGTCGGAAGGTCTTCAGGTCGGTAGGTCCTCAAGACGGAAAGTCATTAGGACGGAAGGACCTCAGGTCGGTAGGTCCTCAAGACGGAAGGACCTCAAGTCGGAAGGTTTTCAGGTCGGGAGGTCCTCAAGGCGGAAAGACCTCAAGTCGGAAGGTTTTCAGGTCGGGAGGTCCTCAAGGCGGAAAGACCTCAAGTCGGAAGGTTTTCAGGTCGGGAGGTCCTCAAGACGGAAAGACCTCAAGTCGGAAGGTTTTCAGGTCGGGAAGTCCTCAAGACGGAAAGACCTCAAGTCGGAAGGTTTTCAGGTCGGGAAGTCCTCAAGGCGGAAAGACCTCAAGTCGGAAGGTTTTCAGGACGGGAGGTCCTCAAGACGGAAAGACCTCAAGTCGGAAGGTTTTCAGGTCGGGAAGTCCTCAAGGCGGAAAGACCTCAAGCCAGATGGTTCGCAAGTCGGGAGGATTGGCGGTCGGACCCATACTATTGTAGATTGGCAGTCGGGCCAAAAGAGCGGAAGGTCTGTGGTCGGCTCAAAGAGTGAAATATAGGGATAATTTTGGTCTGCTGGGGACGCGTGTCAGCATGAGAAGGGTTGGAAGACGGTTGGGAAGGAGACGTTGTAACCGTTCGGGTGACGGTTTTCGGTACGGTTTCCCAGAGAATATTTAAAGGCTTGGATAATCATTTGACAAGGCATCTTCAATCAACTTCAACAAAGCAAAGTCAGATTTGGGGATCACCACTTTAAATTTCAGTCTTTTATTTTCCAGTTTATTTTCTGTACCATACAGTGTTTAGAGATTCCTAATCTCAGGCACTAATTAATCAAGTTTAAGGATATTTTCTATATCTTTGAATTTTACTTTATTTTTGTTGAAAAATTACATCAACAAATTGGCGACCACAGTGGGAGCAAGACAAAATTGCTCATTCCAATTCCGGCGATAATTTCATACGTCTTAGATCCGGCCGAATCATCGGAAGGGTCCATATGGCAGGTTCACAACCACAATCATCTTCGGCACCGGTGGGAGAATCCGTTCCACCACCTATTGTGCCAAATGCCGGGGAAATCCCACAACCACCAACTGATTGGTGGTCTTATGTTCAACAAATGAACAACCAGCATACTTTGGTTATGCAGAATATGTTGCGTGAGCAACAAACGAACATGTTGCGTGAGCAACAGAGTCTGATGCAGAACATGATAGATCAAGCACTGTCAAGGGTTAGTCTTCAACCCACTCAAACGCCACCAGGAGTGTCACCGTCCAGACCACAGGCAAATTTTGCAGGGCCATCATTCGTGGATAGTACTTTCCCAAGTGCCACAAATCCCAACCGTATGGATAGGGGAAAATCTCCTTTGACCTTTCCCAACAATGTTCCACTGGGACCAAGGGTTACCAATCCGCAGCCGAACAATTCAAGGGAGGACAGGCCCGAAGGATATATACATGATCCTATTCATATTCCTGTGCAGGATCCGTTCCATGTTCCTGATCATCAACGCTTTCATGTAGATCCTGATGAGATTGCACATATATTAAGGGATCAGTATGGATTAACTCCTCAGATGGCTAACCGCCCTGCATATCAGAGACCTTTCCCAGAAAGGATCATTAATGAACACCCTCTCCCAAGGAATTTTCGACCACCCGATTTTCATGCATTCTCAGGGGAGGACGGATCTTCCACCATAGAACATGTTGGTCGGTTCACAGCACAATTAGGAGAAGTTGGCAATAACCCTTTTTATAAGTTACAGCTGTTTGGTTTATCTCTTACCAGAACGGCGTTTTCGTGGTTTGTAAGTCTACCTCCTGGACAAATTCAGACATGGGAAGGACTGGAGATGGCATTTCACGCTAGATTCTTCAATCCTTTACCAGTTGTTTCTTTAACTGATCTACTAGAATTGAGACAGTTTCCAGAAGAATCTGCTTCACAGTTTATAGAAAGGGTGCGATTGATGAAGGGACGATGTCCTACGGTAATCAGTGAGAAAGAGATGACCAATTTAGTGGTCCGGAATATGCATACTCGCTTAAGAAAGGCACTCACTGCCCTGGATGTTGAGGATTTGGCAAGTCTTGCATCCAAGGCAGGACGTTTAGAGTCTTTGTTCAGAGAGGAAGATCAGCATAATAGGCGTAATAGAGGCCAACATATGGCGAGTATGGGAACAGAAACATGTGACTTTGATTTTAATCAGTCAGAAGAGATGGCAGCCGAAATCCTTTCTGGAAAACCTTATGTATGCCCTAAATTGAAGCCAGTACCAGGATCTGAAGGAAAGGAGCAACCGACTTTTGATAGTTCGAAAGCTGATGAAATCTTTGATATCCTATTGACTGATGGGCAGATCCGTATTCCAAAGGGGCAAAGATTGGCCACTAAAGAAGAAATCAAAGGGAGACCATATTGTAAGTGGCATAATTCTTTCACACACAATACAAGTCAGTGTACTCATTTCAGGAAGGAAATTCAAAAGGCCATCAAGACAGGTCGGCTCAAATACATCACTCTAGGTGTAGACCAGCAACCGTTTCCGAAAGTAACAACTGCAATGGTTGACATCCAACCAAGTTCGGAAACAAGGAAAAGTTCGGCCAATGATGGACAAACAGGGGAACGAACTCAGGCAAGCCCCGGAACAAAGAAAGGAAATCAGCCAAAAAGCAGCCGACCTGAAGAACGACTCAAAGTTTGTGAGAAACCAGTCGCTGAAAAATGGGACCATCCAGACGGTTCTTTTAACGTGGAGGTGAAAGAAAAAGTTTTAGTGCGTGACCACCCGACCAGAAAAACAGGGTCAGTCGGGAACAATTGGGCTCGAAATAAAAAGCCTTTACCAGTTGATATAGATCCTCGTTTCCCAGGTATGAATCGTACACAGATTCGCAATGCCAAACGCAGGTATGCTGCAAAGTATGGGAAACGAGTTCCTTCAGCAAAACAACTAACCGACGAACAAAAAGCAGCCGACCATTTGGCAGGAGATCAGTCCATTCGGGTCTTTACAGAACAAACGACCAACGAGCAGGGAGCAGCCATTCAGTCTCCAATTGGTCGGTCCAGTCGGGTCTGGTCAGGAAAGCAACCGAATGACGGATTAGGCGCTTCCGACCATACCAAAAGAAGTTCGTCGGGACAGGGGAAAGGTAAAGGAATGGCAGATGAAATAATTAAAGGTTTTAGATGCCAACATTGTGAACGGATCAACATCAATCCATCTCTTGAAGATTTCCGTATAGAATCTTTGACGCTTCAACCTCAGAACAAGACGAAGGAAGAAGTTCTAACTACAGAGGAAAGTTCAAGATCTGTTAAATCTCGTCTGGGACCACGAATCCCTTGTCGGATGACAGAGATTAATCAGATTAGAGATGAACCGATGTGGGCGAGTCTGGTAGATGATACTATGGACGAACCGTTATGGGCATTCTTGGCAGATGATGAATTAGAGGAAACAGAGTGGGCAAAGACTTCAGATTCTGAGCCTCAGCCGGAGCTACCTTCGATTGTGTTTCCTCCTATTCCAGAGGGTGCGATCTCCCATTTGAAGCCTCTGTATGTTAATGCTCATATTTGTGGGAAACCAATCACAAAGGTTTTCGTGGATAATGGAGCAGTTTTTAATGTTATGCCATTGAAGACTCTCAAGAAGCTAGGGAAAGGAATTCATGATCTGTCTCCTGTGGAATTCGAAATGACAAGTTTTACAGGGCAGCCGACTAAGCCTGAGGGCATGATGGTTGCCACAATCGAGGTCGGACCAAAGAAGATCTCCACTGTTTTCTTTATTGTGGACGCAGATACTACATACTCTCTCTTGCTGGGAAGAGACTGGATTCATGCCTCTCAATGTGTGCCTTCAACCCTGCACCAACAATTAATGTTCTGGGAAGGAAATCAGGTCTTCAAAATGGAAGCGAATGACAACCCATTCGATGTATCAGAACAAGTTGAAGAGTCAGTGTTTTATTCCAGTCATTTGGCTCCGATGTCTCAGTTGTATATGGCCAGGGAATACCCAATCAAGGGTTATAAAGTCACTGGCCAGAACTCGATGTTCTATTAAAAGAACACCTTTATTGTATGGCTCATGATAAAGCCACACCCATTCCCATATAATTTGTTTGTCATGGATGATACAAGCTTAGAAGTATGTAGTTCTTTTATTAATAAGTTCTATTTAAAGCAGTTATTACATAAAGCAGAAAATAGTAAAGAGATTCTGGATGTTCACCTCCAAGAAGATGAACAATTTCGTTGGCCCGACTTATTAGAAAAAACAGAACCAACAGCTTCATCACAAGACCCATTATTGGAGTTTAATTTAGGAACCGAATTGGTTCCAAAAGTGATCAGGTTAAGTGGTTATTTGTCTAAAGAGCAACAAACAATGATGCTCGAAGTTATTAGAAACAACATTGATTGTTTAGCATGGGATTATTCAGAGATGCCTGGTTTGACAAGAAGTCTAATAGAGCATCGATTGCCTATCAAAGAAGGTTGTAAACCTTACAAACAACCTCCAAGGCGAATGAGCCCGGATCTAATGCCTCAAATCAAGGAAGAAATCCAAAAACTTCTCAAAGTGGGTTTTATTCAGCCTTGCCGTTATGCGGAGTGGCTGGCTAATATTGTGCCAGTGGTCAAGAAAAATGGTAAGATTGGATATGCATCGATTTCAGGGATTTGAATCTAGCTACCCCTAAGGATGAATATGTGATGCCTATGGCCGACATGTTGATAGATGCAGCAGCAGGGCATAAAATCCTTAGTCTGATGGATGGTTATGCAGGTTATAACCAAATATTTCTGGCAGAAGAAGACATTCCTAAGACAGCATTCAGGTGCCCAGGGGCTTTAGGTATTTATGAATGGACAGTCATGCCATTCGGGTTAAAGAATGCAGGGGCAACTTACCAAAGAGCCATGAATTCAATCTTTCATGATTTAATTGGCAGATCTATGGAAGTGTAAATTGATGATGTTATTGTTAAATCTGCCAGTTTTGATGAACATTTGAGAAATCTTGAAGAGGCATTCGAAAGAATGAAGAAGTACAAGTTGAAGATGAATCCAACCAAATGTGCTTTTGGAATATCAGCCGGGAGCTTTTTAGGATTTTTAGTTCATGAGAGAGGAATTGAAATTGATGCCAACAAGGCTAAAGCCATTCTTGATAGTCGGCCACCCAAGACGATTAAAGAAATCCAAAGTCTTTTGGGTAAGGTGAACTATTTGAGGCGTTTCATT